CCCTGGCCGTCTCCTCGCCACTGTCCCGCAGCTCTGCCGATCATTGTCAATGACTTTGACACCACCCTGGAAATGGCCATGATCACCATTTCGGCCTTCATGGCTGGCATGGCCATCTGCCCGCTCTTCTGGGGCCCGGCCTCCGACTACTTCGGCCGGCGCCTGGTGCGTACATGCCCTGGCCATGCTGTGGCTCGTCCTTTTTTTTTCTCCCTCCCCGATCGAAGGGGAAACCCATGGCGCGACACTCACACATGCGTCCCGCCCGCCCGCCCGCCCGCCCGCCCGCCCGCCCGCCCGCCCGCCCGCCCGCCCGCCCGCCGGGCCCACCTCACAGATTAGCATCATCTCTGTGGGCTTGTACTTTTCCACGGCCGTCCTTTGCGGCCTCGCCTGGAACATTGAGACGCTCATTGCCTTCCGTGTCATTCAGGCGGCCGGCTCTTCGGCCCTGATGACCATCGGTACGTCCCGGCAAGCGCACCCTGTCGCGCGTGCACCTACTCCCGCCACCCTCTGTCCCCCGCTCGCAGACGCCGCCCTGCTGTCGACACACGCCCGCGCGTTCACATCACCACTAACCTGGATGCTCCCATGGTGTCCTCCCCCCTCCCCCCCACACGCACACACGCACGCACGCACGCACGCACGCACGCACCAGGCGCATCGCTCATCGCCGACACCCATGCCCCTGACCAGCGCGGCAAGGCCATGTCCATCTACGTGGCCGGGCCGCTGATCGGGCCCCTGCTCGGGGCCTTCCTCGGGGGGCTGCTCTCGCGGCACCTCGGCTGGCGCAGTGTCTTCTGGTTCCTGGCCGCCATGTCGGTGCTGGCCCTGGTGCCGATTGTGCTGTGGCTGCCGGAGACCGTGGCCCCGGAAAACCGGCCCAAGTCCTTCCCCCGGCCGTGGTCCTCGTTTGTGCACCTGCGCACGCCGTCGGTCCTGAGCCTGCTCATCTCGGCGGCCTTCAGCTATGGCAGCTACTATGTCATCATCGTGTCATTCCCGGTGGTGCTCTTCGTCAACTACGACTTCGATCCCTTCCTGATCGGGCTCAGCATGCTGGCCATCGGCTTCGGCACGGTCATCGGCGCGGTGACCGGCGGCCGGGCCACCGACGTGGCCTCGCGCGGTGGCAAGCCCGTGTCCTTCCTGCTGGTCCCCAGCATCATCGGCGGGCTGGTGTCCCTCCCGTCGACCATCGGCATCGGCTGGACCTTCGCCGTGACCGGCCCCGTGGCTGTGGTCATCATCCTGTCCATCTTTGCCGGGTTTGCCTTCACCTTCCCCCGGACGTCGGCCCTCAACTATGCCATCGAGAAGGCCTCCCGGTCGGCCGGCGGCCAGAATGTCAACGGCGCCATCGCCGGCCTGGCCAACAGCTCCTCCTATGCCTGTGGCGCTCTCGTGTCGCAGTTTGCCTTCCCCCTGGCCGGCACCTTCCCCACGCAGAAGATCGGCTTCGGCGTGGTCATCAGCATGATCGCCCTCATCACCTTCCTGGCCCAGGTGCCTTTGGTGTTCTACTCGTTCGCCGATCTCCGGGCCTACTGGAATGTGCGTTGTGCCCGCACATGGCTCGGCCGCGGTCGATGCTGGCGCCTCCCGTCTGGGGAGGGGTCCTTGGCCCTTCCTCTGCCACCTGTCTCCTCTCTCCCTCTCTCTTTCTGTTCCCCTCTCTCTGTGTTTCTCTTTCTTCCACTGACCCAGGCCCCCCCCCCCCCTGCCCACTCCCTCTCTTTGCTCGGCCCACGCTCTCCCCCATCCACAGGCCTCCGGCCGTGCGGCATACAGCCTGGAGCTCAGTCAAATGGGCGACGCGGCTGACAGCCGCGGCGAGCTGGGTGCCCCGGGCGCCGCTCGGGCCCAGACGCCGCGCGACGCCTTCGGCGGCCAGGCCGATCAGTTCGGCCAGTTCGCCCTGGACCACGACGATGCCGATGACGACGACGAGGATGACTACATCTTCGGCGTGGTCGATGAGCTGTCCAACGACTACCTTTGAGAGAGAGAGAGAAAGGCGCCGCATCGCACTGGGGGGTGCCGCCCCGCCCCGTCCCCCGTGCAGGCGGCCTCGCCTCTGGCCCGGCCCCCGGCCGGCATGTCCCTCCCCTCCCTTGTTCCTCATCCCCCCCCCCCTCCTCTTCATACACACAGGTAACACTCGCTGGCCTATATATATACACGCACACGCGCGCCCCCTGCTGGCTGGTGTTTGTTCTCCTGCGCGTGCGCGCACTCCAGGGGGCGACCCCTCCCGGCCGCCGGCATCTGCCAACGCTTGATTTTCCCACAGCTGCGCCGGGTGCACGCGCGGCATCCCGCCCCTCGCCCCTCCCCGTCCGGCCGACGATATATCCCGGCGTCCCGGGAAAAGTGATGTGGACGCACGGGCGCGGGTGCGGCCAGTGCCGGGGGTGTTGGGCTCCGGCCCCGGCCGATGGCATTTGTTGCAGTTGGCTTGCGTGGCGAGGGCCAGGGGGGGATCTCGCTCCCGCGGGCGGGCGGGCGGGCGGGCGGGCGGGCGAGCGGGGGGGGGGCGGCGTCCGCCAGTCGGGGGTGGAGGCGCGTTCGCG